CCTTCAAGTACATTAAAGGGGTCATTTTCCCTTACTGTTGTCATGAGGAGCCCTGGTGATGGTGTGCTTATGCACTGGGCTATGATCCACATGGTCAGCAGTTGGAAACCACCAGCAGCTCCGAGGGAGAAAGGTGGGACTTTCTACTCCTGTAAACAGTTACAGTCTCAGAAACCCACGGAGGGTGGCCGAGTCAGCACTGACTCAATGGCAGTGAGCTTGGTTTGGTTGTGAGTTCTCATCATGACCCTTGCTTGCTATGGGGTTGCTCTTAGCTGTGGTCTGGGTTTCTGTACCCTCACCTCACACCCCGTCATTAACACCAGTGTTACCCAAACACGCTCTGGTCCCTTCTTTGGGGTGTCTGAGATTGTAAATCATCACGGGAGAAGTTACCCAAACACGCTCTGGTCCCTTCTTTGGGGTGTCTGAGATTGTAAATCATCATGGGAGAAGTTCATGTCGCAGAGTGAATGATAGAAGGAACTTACCTCCTACACCATCTGACTGGACTTTAAAAATATATAAATATTAACCTAATTTCATAGTTTATAACTAAAACGTTATTTAGATGGTTAGAGGGGAAAAGGATCTAAAGGACGGCCCTCCGTGGGAGCTAAGTACAGTTCCTTTCCTACCAGTGAGTGAACGGCTTCTGTGATTTAACTCTAAAGATGCCGTCCATCCTGGCCTCCCAGAGAAGGTCACAGTGTGGTAAGAGAGACCTGGGGAACGTTTGACAGTGGTGGAATTCCTTACCTCTTTCCCTCGGAGTCCCGTCCCCAACAAGTAAACGTGACTCTCCTCCTGGTAACGGATCTGGATGTTGTAAACTTTATCTTTGTATAACACCATGAGGACATACGGGTTGGTAATTGTTTTTTTAGAGCTGTCTCTCACCAGAAAAGTACCGTCCTGAAAGGATACAGTCTCGTTATCATGGGGGCAGTGAAAGTCCTCTAAGAGCCTTAGCCCAGCCTCCAGGGATCTGCTGCAAACGCTAGTGCATGACAAGGAGGGGAGCACTCAGCCCCCCATCAGCCACAGGCCCGTGAGTTACGGAGCGTTTGGTTGTCAAGAAGGAGGCAGCAAAGCTGATAGCAGAGAACTTACAAGCCAACTTCTTTGAAGTCTCCTGATGAAAAAGGAATCCGATTTTCAGTACTGACAGAACAGGGGTGACGGGAGACAGC